GAGAGAGAGAGAGAGAGAGAGAGAGAGAGAGAGAGAGAGAGAAAGAAATCAGGTCCAAGTCAGGATGTTTCCGGTAAGCAGATTACTCTGGGATTTCTGCAGTTCAGTTTAACTATTCCCATGTGTCTACACCTGCCTGGACCCTTTCTCAGCTGAAAGACCTGAACATAAGACCCTAAGGCTGCTGGATGGTTCACGTCTGAGGTGGCTGTCCTGAGAACCTGAGCTGATGAGTTTGATGGCATTGTCCAGAGCCGTTTTCTGGAAGAAACAGAAATGGTGGAAGCAAGCCGCTGCTGAGAATTCCCACAGAGGCCAGGCTCCTCCCCTTACCCCTCAACAAGTCCCAGGAATCTCCTCACCACATGCCCCTTTATTGAAGCTGGCTGGGTTGATCTATGGTTTTAGCAATCAAAAGTCGTTTATAAATATGTAGTTACTAGACATGGAGGCACACCTGTAATCCTAGCACTTCCGCGATGTCTGCGGCTGCATAAGACCTGTCTCAGAGAGAGAGAGAGAGAGAGAGAGAGAGAGAGAGAGAGAGAGAGAGAGAGGAAGGAGGAGGAGGAGGAGGAGGAGGAGGAGGAGGAGGAGGAGGAGGAGAAACAACAACTAGGGAAGTAGTCGCATGGTAGAGCATTTATTTAAGAGAGGAACAAGTCCCATCCACCCCTGATTAAAGACTGTTACCCCAAACAGGACCACAGCCTGCCTCTACAGAAGCAGTGACTGAGGGTTACAGTAGGAAACAAATATGCAGGCACTCTCAAGAGGGCTTTAAGGCTTAGTACCAAACTTTACGTAAAAAAAATCAGAATAATCATTCCTAACCTCACTAGTGTCTATTTTCCATCCTTAAGTTGTATTTCCTCTCAGCACTTGGGAGGCAGAAGCCCATGAGCTTAAACTAGCCTGGCAAACCTAGTAAGACCCTATCTCCAAAGTTAACAACAGCAAAAGTATGATTTTTCATTATTTTGGGGGGGGTTGTTTGTTTTTTTTAAAAAAAAAAAAAAACAGTTCCTGGTCTGGTTTAGACAAGGCTGGCCTCAAATTGATTGGCAATTCTCCTGTCTCCTAAATGCTAAAATTATAGGATGCACACCACATGTGCATAGCTTATGAATTGCTAAGAACTGATCCCATGGCCTCACACATGCCTGGCAAGCACCCTACCATCTAAGATGCATTCCCAGAACTCATTCAAAATGTTTTAATTAAAAAAAATATTTAAACCACATGTGCTAGCACACACCTTTGATCCCAGCACTTGAGAGGCAGAGGCAGGTGGAGCTCTGTGAATCTGAGGCTAGCCTGGTCTACATAATGAGTTTAAGGACATCCAGGATTATGTAGAGAGACCCTGTCTCAGAAAATATATTTTTAAGATATAAAAAAGTTTAATGTGCGTGGGCCTTCCCTATATGAATTTCTGTGCACCACATGGATGTCTGGTGTCTGCAGAGATCGGAAGCGGACACTGGAGCCCCTGAAACTGGAACAATGAAAGACTGTTACTCATTTTTATGTATATGAGTGCTCTATCTGCTTGTACACCTGCATGCCAGAAGAGGGCATCGGATCCCATTACAGATGGTTGTGAGCCACCATGTGGTTGCTGGGGATTGAACTCAGAGCAGTCAGTGCTCTTAACCACTGAGCCATCTCTCCAGCCCCAGGTAGTACTCTTAACGACTGAGCCATCCATCTCTGTCGTCACAAAAAAAAAAAGAAACACCTGAGAAAATAACTCAAAAGGAAGGATTCCTTTGACTCATGGGGTTCACAAGTTTGAGTCCATGGATTCTTGGCTCCATTGTTTCCGGTGTGTGCCGAGGCAGACCATCATAGAACATGGTAGAGCACAGCTTTTCGCCTCGTGGTAGACCACTAACAGAGGAAGCAAGAGAGAGCTTTAAGATTGCACCTCCAGTGATCAGCCTCCTCCAGCCACCTTCCATCTTTCTAGGTGTCCATCACCCTCCAGAAACTCATCAAGCTATGTATGAATCCACCTGTGGATAAACCCGGGCGCATGGGATCCTCTCACCTCCCAGAGCGCTGCCTCTAAATACTGCAACATCGCAGCCCAAGCCTTCAGCATGTGAGCCTTTGGGGGACCCCCCCCCCAACCAAACCAGTGCTTTCTGGTTCAAAGAGAGCTCAGCCCAGGATCTTAGTCAGTGTCCTTGGGACTCTGCTTCCGTGTCAGAGGCTTTCTTCTCTGCTCTGTGTAAATGGACTTCCTTCACAGGCTCGCAGAGCAATCATATCTACAAGACAATGTCCCACCTTCCATCCCCACCCCCACCCCTTTCGTCCCTCATCACCTTGGTTGGGGCTGATGAGACAAGTTGGGACATGGTCTACAAGCATCAAGCCTTGATCGTGCAGACCCAAAGGAAGGGTTTGTAACCCGGCTGGGCCCAATTGAGCTATGGCATTCTCAGAGTCTCCTAGTCCCCAGTACCTGAGGTCCAGAAAGGAGTTAGCAGAGCTCACAGATTGACCCACACAGCTGAATGAGAGCACAAAGATCTTTAAAGCAAGTCCTTAGGGCTAGAGAGTTAGCTCAACAGTTAAGAACACTTGTTGCTCTTGCAAAGACCCCAGTTAGATTCCCAGCACCCGGCAGGCAGCTCACAGCTGTCTGTACCTCCAATCCCAGGGGATCCAACAGCCTCTCCTCTCCTCCTCAAACACCAGGCATCCGCGTAGTACACATATATACTTGCGGACAAAGCACTCATATACGTAAAATAATAAATCTAAAAAATAATTTTTAAAGTCCTCAATGGTAGCTCAGAAATTATTTACTGGCCCCTTTCTTGACCATCTACGACAGACATAGTGGAAATACAGTGCAGAAAGCGACACCCAGGACAGTGTCTATTGCTCTGGGATGTCCTGATGGCCATGTCCTTATTTCTCCAGGGAAAATCAAGCTCTGAAACTGAAGCATTGCCGGGCGGTGGTGGTGCAGGCCTTTAGTCCCAGCACTTGGGAGGCAGAGACAGGCGGATTTCTGAGTTCGAGGCCACCCTGGTCTACAGAGTGAGTTCCAGGACAGCCAGGGCTACACAGAGAAACCCTGTCTCGAAACACCAAAAAAAAAAAAAAAAAAAAAGTCTTACAACTGAAGCGCGGCACCCCCCCCCCCCCCAATATGGGGTTTTCGAGGCTCAAAGGGAAAACTGACAGCAACGTTCACTCCCCCAGCCTGAGAGGCATAGATGTTCTGTGTGGAGCCTAACAAACGCAGGCTCTGATTAGACTCCGCCTCTTCTCACCTGAGAGGCGTCAGTAAGGATGCCCGATGCCCCCGAGGCTTCTGCTCGCCACAGCCTCCAATCTTTTACCATCAGCCACGACTCTCTTCCACTTTCTCCTCTGCCCTGCCTCCTCTCTCCCTCCCTCGTGCCTGCCCTCCCTTCCCTCCCCCCTCCCATTTCTACCTCTCTCTCTTTGCGTCCTTCCCTCCCAAGCCTTGAAGCCCTGATGCCTCTGCCTTGCTCCAACCGTTTCCCCCCACACCCCCGCTCTTAGAACCTTATAACAAAGAAACAGAAATGTTCCCCCAATTACTCTGACTGCCAGATAATAAGCTGCCAAATGAAGAGTAACAGCGTGATTACCGCGGCAATTTATCAGAACACAAAATTCCGTGCGCAGCT